ATAAATTTGCTTTTTTATCCTACACTAAGGGCCCAATGCATTAATTCGTGCACCTTGAAAGGAACTGTGGGCCATAAGGCTATGGTAAGCACAGGGGCAGGTCTCAGCCCATCCTCCGTGCTTCCTCCTGGCTCCTCCCACTTCAGTTCCCAGTCCCCTGTCTGCTGGCAGCCGCTGCTGCTCCCACGCACTGACAGTGCCTGCCCCGCTCATGCCTGCTGGAGGTGCAGAACGATTGGGGCTGGCCCCAGCTGTGGCTGTGAGCAGTAGCTACTGCCCTGATCACCCTTCAGGAGCAGGGGGAGGTAGAGAAGTCCTTAGGGGAAATCAGGGCCAGCAGCCACTGCTTGCACCCACTGATGGCACTGAGTGACTGGGGACAGCATCAGGAGCTGGCAGTGGGTGCCAGTGGCAGCTCCAGTGCTGGCAGCAGGTGCAAACGCCAGGCGAGACTACAGCACTCGGGAGCAAAGAATTTTTAGTAACCACCAGAGGCTCGCCCCAGTGGCAGCAATCAGTGCTCTACCTTGGTCTGATGCCCCCCTCACCTGCACCCCTCTGCAGCCAACACCCACCATGGTCCACGCATGCTCCCTGGTGGTCAGTGCACGTCATGCGACCAGTTATTTGATTGTTCCAGTTGTTCTGCCTTTCAGTCTATTTGCATATTAGCCTTTTATTATATAGGATAATAGAAGCCTAACATGCAAATTGTCCACTTGGGTGGTTGACTGGGAGCCCTGGAGTTCAACTGCTTGTTATGATGTGCACTGAACACCAGAGAGCAGCATGGAACATGGAGGGCATTGGCAACACAGCACTGGCAGCGGGCAGCTGTGGAGGCACTGCTGGCCCCAATAGGCCCCAACAAGAGTGGGACTGTGGGAGAGATGGTGGAGCAGGTGAGCGGGCAGTGCCAGGCCAAAGCAGGTGTGAGCAGGGGTAAGCTGGGCTCTGCCCTCCCACACCAGATGCTTACAATTTGATCGCTGGCCAGGCCTAGGGACTATACCCGTGCACAAATTTGCATATCAAATGATGTAATGATTTATGTTTTCATCACTTGTGTACAAATAAGAGTTATAATAAAAATCCAACACAAGAAGAAAAATGTTAATTTCTTATTGGTCCCAAGAAACAAATTTTGTTTAATTTCTATTTATTTACTTATGGTCACAAGAAACATATAATTTGTTGAGCAGAAACATGATAGGATGATTACTAAAAATTGTTTAAGTATAAAAATATATTGAATAAAATTCTGCAATAGAGGTGGAATAAAGTACAAGTTCAAAGAGAAAAAAGAAAATGTAAAGTTAAAAAGGTGTTTATGTCTTTTTGTGAATGGTTAATAGTGAATCTCGGGTTTCAATGATGACACTAGATATATTTAAAACAGTGACACACCTTTTATTTTAAAATATCAATATTTACAATATACCAGAAATTGCAACAATTTAGACTTAAGAAAAAAAGTTTGCCATCAACTTAAAAATGTATGGAGAGACAAAATTGTTCAAAAAGATTTTATGAGCCGAAACCGGTTTGGCTCAGTGGATAGAGCTTCGTTAGCAGCGTCAGCCTGCGGACTGAAAGGTCCCAGGTTCGATTCCATCAAGGGCATGTACCTTGGTTGCAGGCACATCCCCAGTAGGGGGTGTACAAGAGGCAGCTGATCGATGTTTCTCTCTCATTGATGTTTCTAATTCTCTATCCCTCTCTCTTCCCCTCTGTAAAAAACTCAATAAAATATATTTTTTAAAAAGATTTTATGTACTACTTAAGCAAAGAATCAAGACTACTGCTCTTTAGGCAACTGAAAAGAAACTCAGTCAAATTGTGGCCCCAAATTCAAAGCTATGGTTTTTTTTAAATCAACTGTATTTATAAAATTTACAATATTAATGAAAACTGCCTAGAAAATAGTAAGTGAAAGTGAAACAGGTTAGTAAGCCAAGACAAGTAGAATAGGCAAACAGAAATAGATAAAGAAGTAATCTAGTAATTCCAATCTTCCCTAAACCAAGGACACTTAAGAGCAAATGATTTGTAGTTCTCCTCCATAACTAGAGGGTAAATAGCTTAAATCACCTACTTGGGGAAACAAATAGCAAAAATCCAATTAGTGCCATTTGCCAATGAAATGCCAAATGAAGTTAAAAGGATAAATCTCATTTTAGCACATCAACATAAAACTGATGAATATTCTATTGCGATTCCCCTCTAAGGCCTCCCCCAAACACCTGTGGATTAAAAAAAAAAAAAAAAAAAAAAAAAAAAGGGGCCACATGCTAACCTGACAAACTCAGGGAAGGCCTGCATGGTAGTCTTGCAAATTCAATGATCTAAAGCAGTGGTTGGCAAACAGCGGCTTGCAAGCCACATGTGGCTCTTTGGCCCCTTGAGTGTTCTAACGCCACTTCTTCAAAATAGACTCGCCCAGGCTGAAAACCGACTTCTAAGCATCGGCCACAAAGTTTCAATCGCACTGTATGTGCGCAACTGCACATGGTATTTTGTGGAAGAGCCACACTCAAGGGGCCAAAGAGCCACATGTGGCTCGTGAGCCGTGGTTTGCCAACCACTGACCTAAAGTAACCACAGGGATTATCTGAAATTAAAACTTTAATTACGCCGAGACTGGTTTGGCTCAATGGATAGAGCGTCGGCCTGGGGACTGAAGGGACCCGGGTTCGATTCCGGTCAAGGGCATGTACCTTGGTTGCGGGCATATCCCCAGTGGGGGGTGTGCAAGAGGCAGCTGATCGATGACTCACTCATCGATGTTTCTAGCTTTCTATCTCTCTCCCTTCCTCTCTGTACAAAATTCAATAAAATATATATATTTTTTTAAAAACAAAAATCTTTAACTAAAAGCAGTTATAGTGGGTAGTTAAGTCCTAGGCTGGTCAATCTTTACCTTAACTAAGCCTGTCTGTCTTTTTGCCTTAACTGAGCCTATTATCTATGACTAGAGGCCCGGTGCACAAAATTCGTACACGGGGTTGGGGGGAGGGTGCTCCTCAGCCCAGTCTGCATCCACTCCAATGGAGCCCCTCAAGGGATGTCCAACTGCCCATTTAGGCCCGATCCCAGTAGAATCAAGTCTAAATGGGCAGTTGGACATCCCTCTCACAATCCAGGACTGCTGGCTCCCAACTACCCTCCTGCCTGCCTTCCTGATTGCCCCTAACCACTTCTGCCTGCCAGCCTGACCACCCCCTCACCACTCCCCTTCCAAGCTGATGGATGCCTAACTGCTCCTCTACCAGCCTGTTTGCCCCTAACTGCCCACCCCTGCAGGCCTGATCACCACTAACTGCCCTCCCCTGAAGGCCTGGCCCCCCCTCCCAAACTGCTCTCCCTGCAGGCCTGGGTCACCCCAACTGCCTTTCCCTGCAGGCCTGCCCCTCCAAAAAAAAATAAAAAAAAAACTGCTCTCCCTGCAGGCCTGGATCCCCTTCCCTCCTTCCCTCCCCCCCTCCCCCCCACTGCCTTTCCCTGCAGGCCTGGTTGCTCCCAACTTCTCTCCTCTGTCAGGCTGGTCACTCCTAACTGCCCTCCACTGCAGGCTTGATTGCCCCAACTGACCTCTCTTGCAGGTCTGGTCCCTCCCAACGGCCCTCTACTACTGGCCTGATCACCCACAACTGCCCTCCCTTGCAGGTCTGGTTCCTCCCAACTGCTGTCCCCTCCTGGCCATCTTGTGTCCACATGGGGGCAGGATCTTTGACCACATAGGGGCAGCCATCTTGTGTGTTGAAGTGATGGTCAATTTGTATATTATCCTTTTATTAGCTAGGCTAGATGCCTGGTGCATGGATGGGGGCAGACTGGTTTGCCCTGACGGGTGTCCTGGATCAGGGTGGGAGTTCCCTTGCAGTGTGTGGTGGTCTGGGTGAGAGGCATGTGGTGGTTTGCAGGCTGGCCACACCCCCTGGTGACCCAAGGAGAGGCCCTGGTATCTGGGATTTGTTTATCTTCTATAATTGAAACTTTGTAACCTTGAGCAGAGGCCTGGGGTGGTCAGGGTATGTGGAAAACTTGCCTTCCTCCATTGCCAAGGAAACCCAAGCCTCCTGCTCTCTCCATGGGTGTAGCCATCTTGGTTGGGTTAATTTGCATACTTGCTCCTGATTGGCTGGTGGGCATGGCTTGTGGGTATAGCAGGGTGATTGTTAATTTGCATATTACTTTTATTAGATAGGATGACATATTCATGAAATGTCAGGGTAACTTGTAACCTCCTTTTTTCCCAGACCCCTTAGGGTACAACCAAATGCTCTGGATGCCAGGACAGATACCACAAATTCCTTCATTGTTACTATTATCATGTTAATTGTTGGCTATTAACTCTCCTGCACCCACTTAAGTAAAAGAAGTATGTGTCTATCATTTTACTTTTTATCCATTCCTGGAGGTTCCCCCACCTTTTGCTTTCTGCTGCCTCCCTAATCTACCACCAATGGATTTCATGTAACCCACTTACATCTCCTTCTTTGATTGTAATGTAGAAAACAAGGTGAAACCCGCCATTCTCTGGAGCATTATCCCAATCCATTGAGATTCTGCTTCCCAGCAATTGTCGACAATAAACTCAAATAAACTCAAAAATTATTTACAGGTTTGAACGCTTTTTACCTTAACACACCCAACCTTTAAAACCCCTCAAAACAAAGTCTCAGCATGTGCTCTCTCTCTCAGGAGCACTTTCCTTCCCCCTCCTCCCCCCCACTCACGCACGCACCTGCACCTTCTAAACTCTAAGGGACCCCACAGGAAAGCAATGGGCAGTGGAAGCTTATCCTGGGCTAAGCCCTGAATCTGTCCCCAAGGCCCCCTTTTCTCTGACGTCTTAGTGAGCTAAAGCAGCCCAGCCTCGGCTCATTTCCCCAGCCCTTTCTTATTTTATTGTCCCAGCTTTATTTTATTTATTTATTTATTTATTTTGCAGAATTTTATGATTTTATTAATACAAATACAATGTATACACAATCTGTCTATTCATTTTCTTCGCTGCACAGCCTGGCATTGGGATTGGTGACTCTGATGGCCAGCTGGGCTGCTCTTTCCACAATGGCTTTGAGGTTCTTGGAGGAGACGTTGTGAGCAATCTCAGCACAGTGAGACTTATTGCACATCAGCAGCACTTCAAGCTCCTTGACGTTATGGACCAGAAACTTCTGAAAGCCACTGGGCAGCATGTGCTTTGTTTTCTTGTTGCTCCCATAACCAATGTTGGACATCAAGATCTGGCCCTTGAATCTTCTCCTCACCCTATTGTCAATGCCTCTGGGTTTCCGCCAGTTCCGCTTAATTTTGACCTATCAGTCTGACTGGTGCAGGATGAACTTCTTGGTCCTCTTTTTTACAATCTTGGGTTTCACAAGGGGTCTGAGGGCAGCCATGGTGCCATGTAGGAGATGGCTGCCACCTCCATAGGCAGCGCCGAGGAAGAGTTATTGTCCCAGCTTTAACTAACATGCTCTCAAAATCACCTGGACTTGTATTGTGAAATCTTTCCTGCGCGAATTCAACAACCCACACACTACCAAATGGCCCTAGGCAGACCCACTCAGGGCCAGGTCCCCTTTCTTTTATATATATTTTTTCTATTGATTTCAGAGAGGGAAAGAGAGGGAAAGACAGAAACAACAATGATGAGAGAGAATCATTGATTGATTACCTCCTACATGCCTCCAACTGGGGGGTGAGCCCTCAATCCGAGCATGTGCCCTTGACTGGAATTGAATCTAGGACCTTTCAGTCCACAGGCCGACGCTCTATCCACTGAGTCAAATCAGCTACGGTGCCAAGTCCCTTTTATGGTAACAAAAATGAAAGCATCTCCAGGGATTTTCATAATGAAAGATCAGACAGAGGCCAAAAACCAGGACTACAGGCTTTATTAGAGGAGAAGGATCTGCCGGCTATCTCACCAGGGGAGACAGCAAGCAGAGCAGAGGTGAACACACCTTTTTGGCACAAAATTCTAAAAAGATCAATTTTAAATCAAAATCGCTATTAGCCTCACATCATTTTTGAAAAGTATTGTAAAATACTAATTCTGGTGAGGAGTTGGCTGAGAACCTCTGCTCCATATGATGAGGATGGGGGGCTTCCTCTCTCCAGGGCCCCTCATCCTCTGGCTCCTTGATTGCCCGTCCTCTGCCCTGCCCTCCAATGCTGGGATTCCTAGGAGCTAGGAGCCAGGTCCACTCTTTGCTCTCTCAGGTGAGTTCAGACATTCTCAGGACTTCAAATGTCTGCCAGTAAGGACCCCCAAACCTATGTCCGCTGTCCAGATCTGTGTCATCCAACTCCAGATATAAGCTCCTTGCTGGGTCTCTACTGCTCAAACCTCAGGACAAGCTGTTTCCCACCTAGTGTGTTTGCTTCCCTCTTTCATCCCAAGCCCCCCCCCCCCCCTCCTTGAATGAGAAACCAACTCCCCCACCTGCCAGCACTCCGTGATATAATCACCATCAACCCTGAGTTCCTCCAAATACCCCATGCTATCCTCTGATCTCCCAACAGGCTGTTCTCTTGGCAGGAAATGCTCTTCCTTGTGATCTCCCTCTACTCATTCTTCAGACCCACACGTGCCCTCCTCCAGGAAGTCCTCCTCCCTGCACCCATCACTCCCAGGCTGGGGCAGACACTTACTCTGAGTTCCACAGTTCCCTGTATCTCCCAGCCCAGTCCAGACTATGCTGGGCAGTCAATGGTGGCTGATCTGTTCACCCCACTGGGTTGTGAGTGGAGCTGTCTCGGTCTTCACTGTAACCTCATTGTCCTGCCAGGCTATGGCTCCCTGGCAGCAACACTGGATGTGAGAAGCTGAGGCCCAGACGCCGAGACCATCTGCACTTGGAACAAATGGGCCCCTCCGCATCCTTGTTCTCTAGATCCCCAGACAACCACTCCTTATTCTGGAAGTTGGAGCAGGTTGAAAGAAAACATGCAGTTAAATGCAGGAAGAATTTACTTCAGACTTAGAGATAACAGTGCATAAAGGGGAATGTGACTTCGAAGAAGCACAGCCAGTGACCTCTTGAACTTGGGTGGGGCTTTTTGTCAGCTCTCTAAAGGGGGCTCACTTTGTAGAAATACAGAAAATAACCGAACCTGGCTGGTTCTGGTAGCAAAACTGAGAGCATTAGCAGCCTTAGTTCCTTGGGATGGAGGGACGAGGGTGAGGGCCAAAACTGCAGGTCCAGGGCGTAAGGAAGGCGTGGAAGGGAGAAAGTGATTCTTTCTCTGTAGACTTTGACATTGTTAATGAGCTCATAATCATGTACTCCTTGTGTAATTGAATCTCTGGGAAAGTATTATGGAGATAATAACACTGACTTCGGGCTGTTTGAGGTGTGGGTGCCACGCTTGGCATGGAACACGCATCCAAAACACAACTGCAGCAAGTGGTAGCTGGCTCACATCAATTATCTGCCAATATCGTCCGTTAATCATGTCACGCCCATTAATCCTGAGGAAGGTACTAATATACCGCCTCATCTTATGATGAGAAGCTGGAATGAGCCACATCACTGCATTTGGTTGTTACTGCATTCTGAGAGGCAGGTAGTCATGAGCTCCATTTACAGAGGGGAAACTGAGAGGCTGGCTAACAGCTGAAGTCACTCTAGGAGACAACATTGGGGTGGAGGGTGGGGGGCAGAGCTGGATTTAGGCCACCACTGTTTCCAAGCCCAAGGCAGCATCCTCAAAGCACAACTTGGAACCTCTCACACCTTTCCATCTTCTCTCCTAACCCTTTTCTGTTCCATTTGAATGCGGATCCATTAAGCTGCACTGCCAGGTATTTCCTGAGATGGGTCCTCCATCCCTCTCCCACTCCACCAACCAGAGAAGCCACGTATTTTTGTCAAACAGGACACTTCTTGCCCTGTGAGAATGCCAAAGCCAGCTTTGAGACTGGAGCACTTTCACTCCACTTTGCCTGGGTCATCCTGGCCAGATGTGGGGCATGGGGAATTAGGGGTGGTTATGAGTGTCCCACATCTCACATGGTTCGGGGTTCGGGCTGGGGTTTGGCTCTGGAGGAGGGAGGCCTCACACAAATGAAAGAGATAAGACAAGAAATAATAATTTGGAAATTGGGGGCCAGGCGGAAGCCCATGAAAGGACTCCACTTTTATTCATCCCTTTTATTCGGGTTTGGGATACACCCATAGTCCTTAGGCAGGCAATACAGTAACAGGCAGACTAACTTATCAATAAGGATCTATACCGCTGTCTGGTAGGGAAATTGCTTCAGTTACCATTGTCTTGACTGAATAGCTCTGACCTTTGCCAGAGCTTTAAGGGTCGCCAGCCTTCTGGGATCCCTGTCCACACTTCTCTGATAGTGAAGACAGTGGGCGACTTCTCGCAGGTGAGGAAGACTGGCATCCAGTGGTGGGCTTGAGGTGCATCCAGTGTCAGGCAAGGGATCACAGACCTGCGTTGAAAGATCCCCCTGGCTGTGAAGGAGTGTGATGGGGTGAGGGCGGGGACAGGGACCTACAGACCTGGAGCTTCTGGGGGAGACTGGGCTGGAGCCCAGCAGAGGGCAGAAGGGAGACTTAAAGCCAGAAGCCCCATGACTCAAGCGTTTGAAATGAAGCTATTTTCAACCAGAGAAAAATACTGTGCTGTCTCTGAGAGAGAAAAAAATGAAATGACCTATGGATGGGTCTGTAGGGGAAGTGGATGTGAAACTGTGGTTATTAACCTTGTTATAAAAAACAGGAAAGGAGCAAAGGGAAGGCCAGCTATGATAGACATGCCATTTGTGCAGCTTTGCCAGAAAGCTGCAATTTAACAAAAGCTGCTAGTCCATTCCCGCAGCTCGCTGGGGGAAGGGCTAACCAGGGTGGAGAAATGGATGCCTCCCCAGGAAAGTCTGGGTGAGCTAGGGAAGGTACCTGTCTGTCAATCACACCTGGGAACAGGTCATTGGCTAGAGTAGGTGTGGCCACTGTAAGCACCGGAAGAGAAAGATTTGAAATATTTAATCTCCTAAACAAGTTCGCTCTGTCTTGTGCTCTTCTCCTGGCATTCTGGGGACTCTTGCTGCAGGGGGCTTGCTTTCCTGGCTCCTGTGTATTCACCCACACAGCCCACAGTCATGTGGGCCCCACACAAGGAACTAATGGACTACAACTTGCCTAATGCTAACGCGGACCCAATGCCAGCGTGGAACGGAAACTGGACACTGGTTTTGCTTTGAACTCTATTGACTGCACTTCCTCCAGGACTGGATTAAGGGAATGGGACTTTAGAAACCCAGACGTGTATTTCCACACAAATAAAAATCACCATCCTCCCACATGAATCTCAAAAAATTATTTTTCTTGAAATATTGTAAGGACCCCATCTCAAGCACTCAGTGGGGAAAAGGACACCCCACTTCCACCTATAACAGTTGGACACGTTAAAGCCATTCCATGGACTACTCCCAAGAGTCAAAATCACTTGGACTTGTTTTGTAAACTCTTCACACACTATCCACCAGCCCCAGGTAGAACCGCTTGGGCCCAGTCCCCTTTCCAGTAACAGATACACAAATATGTAGGAAAATAATGTTTAAATGCCTCAGAATATTAACTATGTGAAATCTGGGAGGGAACACAGGAGGTACCAAACCAGTTAGAAATATTTTATTTCTTTAAAGATAAAAATGACAAAAATGTTAAGGTATAACAAAAATAGCTGTGCATATATGACTAAAATGACAATTTCTCTAAACCTGTCTTGACTCTGTATTTGAAATAGCTATTTTTTAATCTATTTTTATTGATTTCAGAGAGGAAGGGAGAGGGAGTGAGAGATAGAAACATCAATGATGAGAGAGAACCATCGATCAGCTGCCTCCTACACCTCCCCCACTGGGGACCAGAACCCACAACCCAGGCATGTACCCTTGACTGAATTAAACAATTCAGTCCACAGGCTCATGTTCTATCCACTGAGCCAAACCAGCTAGGGCAAAATGATTATTTTTTTTTAAGCAAAAGAAAGGGGGTTGTGGAATCAGATGTTAATCGGATACAGATAGAGATGGAGCAGAGGGAGAAAGAGTCATCACATGGGAGACATGCAATTTTATTTTTCCCTTGACTGCCTTCCTATTCGATATACTACACACACACACTTACCCAGCTATAGCATATGGTGAACAGTATCAGAAAGAGAGGATGGAGTAAAGAGGTGGGTGACAGGGAGGACGAAAGGATGGGTAAGG